AGTAGAGACGGGGTTTCATCATGTTGACCAGGATGGTCTCGATCTCTTGACCTCGTGATCCACCCGCCTCGGCCTCCCAAAGTGCTGGGATTACATGCTTGAGCCACCGCACCCGGCCCAGGATTTCTTTTTCAAATGAGATGAGAGTTACCCGCTACCATGTCTGGTTAATTTTTGTATTTTTAGTAGAGATGGTGTTTCACTATGTTGGCCGGGCTGGTCTCGAACTCCTGATCTCAGGTGATCTGCCTGTCTCAGCCTCCCAAAGTGCTGGGTTTACAGGCGTGAGCCACCGTACTCGGCGGTTCACTTTTTTTAAACATGTAGCACTTCATCTGTTTGGAACTCAGCCATTTGGAACATAGCCAAGAACAAGACAGTAAATATAAAAGGCCTCTGAGCTGTCAATATAAATAACAAAAGATATCTTTTTTGTAGGAGAATGTTCAAGTTAAACCTTTTTTTAAAAATATTCAATTCTCTGATAAGCTTGTTGATCTTTTTTCTGATTCTATAATCGAAATAGTAACTGGTGGTAAAAGAGAAGGCAAAAAACTAGGAAAAGAAACAACTTAAAATGGAGGCCATAGTCTTTAAAAAGAATAAAACCATGCTGCATATATGAATATGCTCTGAGGGAATCGGCATATATATTAATTGTTCTAATGTTCATGATCAAAGTGAGGACCATGATTATTCAAGAAAGGTTCAGCATAAAATGGTAGAAGAGTGTACAGTGCACTATAGAGATGTATATTCCAACTGGCAAGGCTTTAAAAAAAGTGCTTATGATGCTTCAAGGCAATGTTTAAATCTTAGCTATCTAGAACAATATGTTTCACAAGAGTTGCAGATCAAGGTTTATCATGATGTTTAATTGACATTTGCTGTTTTCCTGTGTAGACTTTTAGATGTGTAAGGAATTTATTATCGGTCTTTCTAGATGAATACTTTTATTGATTGGAAAACTGAGGTCCAGAGAGATAGAGACTTGTTCAACACATACATAGATAAAGTTAATATTCAACATTTATAACTAAATTGAGGCTGGGATTCAGATTATTACTACTTTGGTCTGTAAAAGAGAAGATCCTGTTTTTAAAATAGTGAAAAGCTGCTCTGTCCATTATGGTAGCTAGTAGACATATGTGGCTATTTAAATTGATTAAAATTAAATAAAATAAAAATTGCAGTTTCTCATTTGCATTGGTTACATTTCAAATGCTCAGTAGCTAAGTGTGGCTATTGCTACTGTATTACACAACACAGATATATAGAACATTTCCATTGCTGGAGAAAGTTCTTTTGAAGAATGCTAGTTTAAAGCATAACTTATTTTCTTTTTTTTTTTTTTTTT